ACCCATTACCCTCATGGAGTCCTTTTCTCAGTTCATAAAACCCACCAACCACATGGAGTCCATCCCTCCGTCCATCAACACCAACCCACCACCTACACTTTAAACCCAAACTTTAAACCCAAACCCACCACCCAAATGGAGTCCATTTTCAATTCATAAAACCCACCACCCTCGTGGAGTCTATCCCTCCGTCCATCCCCCAAACCCACCACCCAAATGGAGTCCTTTTCTCAGTTCATCACATCCAAACCCACCACCCACATGAAATCAAAATTTTGTCCATAGACCCACCACCCACATGAAATCCAGCTTGTACACCACCCTCAAGGAGTCCATCCCTCCGTCCATAAAGAAACCCAGTGGTTTTTTTTTGTGTGTTTTTTTTCCTTTTTTTCTTTCCCCACCCAAAGTAAATTTTTCAATTTGTCCATACACCAGAAACCCACCCTAACCCAAACAATACCAAAAATAACCTGTGCATAACCATAACCATAACCTAACTACACTGCACTACCTAGACGCAGAGGAAGGTACTCGTCTGCTAAAGGTGGCAGCCTTCCATGAAAAGAAAAAATCTACGGGGGAAAGGTGAAGACAGATTTGGAATTCACTTCACCAAGACAAGGGCGCCCATGGAGCGGTTCAAGGCGGGTGGACCTTGAGATTTCGCCACAAACGCTGCCAAATGGTGGGATCCATAGAGGCCCTTTCGGTGGTATAGATCCCACGAACCGCCCTCAGAATGTCTGCTACCACCACCTGACAGGAAAGGTCTTTACGTTGAAGGGAAACCTGACACCTGAACTGACTACATAAAGAGTGCCCAAATCAAAAGCCCTCCCCCTTGAGTTGGACGTCCCGTACGCCCACTCCGCATAAGTCCAGCGGGATAAGCAGGGGATGCCTAAGCCGGCTGAGACCTCTTTGTAGACCTGTACGTTAAAGGGGCACTCGAGGAGGAAGTGGTCCATGGACTCCACTTCCCCGGAACATTCCACCCGAGGACAACCACGATCCGTTATGTTCCTGTACTTCAAGTTCCCTCGAACGTAAAGTCTACCGTGGAAGGAGAGAAACGCCACGTCTCGGTATTTCTCCGGAAGGCGCCTGGAGTTGATGTTTTTCAACCCCGAGGCGAGAGTACTTGGCGGGCAGTCCTTCAAAGCAAGCTGAATGCCAAAGTGGGTGGCCAGGACCCTCCCGTCGAGAAGCTTCTTGGGAGTGTCCCGAACCTCCTCCACCGTGACGTTCCACCTGCGCAGAATTCCCACTCCCTCGATGACCGAAGACGGAAGATAGCTAGAATGCCGAACTCTCATGCTCTTCACCCTCCCACCCTGAAACCAGTCCACCAGGAAAGGTGTGACCCACTCCCTGAATATACATACCCAGCCAGGCTGCTCATCCTTCAGGAGAGCCCCAAAGTTCCTTTTCAGGAAGTTGTTAGTTAAAAAGACGATGGGGTTGACCATGGCCAGACCCCCGTCCTTTCTGGCCAGGTAAGTGACCTCTCTTTTGATGAGGTTCAGCCTGTTCCCCCACAACATGCGGAAGAACAGCGCAAACATCCGAGCGTGGAGGGACCTGGGCAAAAGGAAGATGTTACTGACGTAGCCGAATACGGTCAGAACATAGGTTTTGATTAGGTTCACCCGTTCTCTGAACGTCAGTTTCCACCTGTGGCTCTCCTCCACCTTGCTAGAAGCTATGGCAAGCCGTTCGGTCCAGTTCCTGAGAGCCAGATCCCCTGGTCCGAACACCACCCCCAAGATCTTAATTTCAGGCTGGGCCCTCGGGAAACCGTCTGGAAGAGGGAACTGGTCCCCCTCCTTCCCGCACCAGAAAACTACGCTCTTGTCCCTGTTGACACGAGAGGCTGAAGCGGCAGAATACGCTAGGATTAAATCATCCACCTCCGTGGCCTCCCGAGTATTGGAGACCACTATGGAGATGTCATCAGCGTAGGCAACAACCCGTAAAGGCCTCTCCGGAGCCCTGGCCACTCCCTGTAACGTGCCTGCCTCGACCCTTCGGATGAAGGGATCGACTGCAAACACGTACAAGAGTGGGCTGAGAGGACAGCCTTGCCTGACCCCGGATCGGATCCTAAACGTCCTGCCCCTCCACCCGTTCACAAGAGCGAAGCTTTCGGCCCCTCTGTACAAGGTGATTATCCAATTGACGAATTTTCCCGGCAAGCCATACTTCCGCAAGACTGACCACAGATAACGGTGATCTACTCGATCAAAAGCTTTGGACTGATCAAGTGCCAGAAGGTATATCCCCCTTTCTCCGTCCCTGCACTTCTCGAGGGCTTCCCTGACTTCGAAAACGGCATCAAAGACAGTTCTGCCCTCGATTGAACAGTACTGGGAGGTGGATAGGACACGCCTCGCTAGGCCCTGTACTCGTTTCATCAAAATCTTTGCCAGGACCTTCCTGTCGACATTTAACAGGGATATGGGGCGCCAGTTCCCCACATCCGCTGTGTCGAGCACGTTCGGCTTGGACAGCAAGATCAGGGCAGAAGTCCTCATCGAGGGTGGCAATAATCCTTGAGCCAAGCTCTCATTAAACACCTCGGTCAGATGAGGGGCCAAGAGGTCGCAGAACTGTTGGTAAAACTCGGCCGTCAGACCATCAGGACCTGGCGACTTACACTTGTTCTGCTGTTGGATACTCTCTGTGACCTCTTCTATGGTGATCTCGCTGACCAACTCGTCAAAAGAGAGGTCGCTATGCTCAGGGAGCGTGAGCTCGCTCAAGAAGTCATCCACCCTTCTCCCGTGGGAGGTTCCCTCCTCGCTACATTGGGGGCTGCCCTTTCCGAGGAGCTCAATATAGTAGTCGCGGACCACCTTCAGAATCCCGCGAGGAGACTCCTCTAGGGTCCCGTCGGTGCCCCGCAGACTAGGGATGGACTTGGTACCTTCCTTCCGCTTGCAGCTAAGATAAGGATCGGGCGAGCGGTATGACCCATGATCCCTCTCTTTTACAAGGGAGGCGTACCTGTCATACTGATAACTCCTCATCAGGTTTTTAACTGCCGCAATGTCCTCGGGGTCACCTCCCTGCGAGATCAGGATGTCTAACCTCCCAAGCAAGCCCAGATACATCTTGTACCTGGAGGACTGCATGTTCCGGGCGAGATTGCGAAACAGCCGTTGAGTTCTGGCCTTCACCATCTCCCACCACTCAGACTTCGTTTGGCCTAAGTCGGCCAATGTCATCTGATCGTGAAAGAATTCCATGAAGGCTTGCTGAACCCTCTGTTCCACCAGGAGGTCTGAATTTAGCCGCCAGATCCCTCTACCCTTAGGTGGGGTACTATAGACGTTCAACTCGCAAGACAAAATGTGATGGTCGGAGAACTCCACCGGTGTAAGCACGGGTGCCGCCACCGGGAAATTCTCCTTAAAGAAAAACCTATCTATCCTACTCTGACAGCTACCTCTGTGATAAGTGTACCCACCCGTGGGATTGGGAGTGTGATGAAGGTACACATCGACCAATCCAGCCTGACTAACCATCTTATTTAAAAAATAGGAGTCATACCCCAGCCTCTGAGTGGCGTCTCTCCTGTCTTGAGGCCTAGTTATGGTGTTAAAGTCACCGCCAAACAGGATTTGCTGGGATGTATAAAGGTAAGGCTCTATCTCAATAAACAGGCGCTTCCTCTCCCACTTAGATTGGGGGCCATAGATATTAATTATCCTGAAAGGTTGCCTGCCCATTGAGACATCTAAAACCACACACCGTCCTTTTTGCAACTCAATAACCCTGTTGATGCTAACATCAACGTCCTTAAATAGGATGGCGATTCCCCCATATCTCTCTGTGGCTAGAGAGAAGTAGGAGGGCCCCCATCTCCAGTCCCGCTTTGCAGCGTGCAGGGCCGCGAGGGTTTCCAGCCGGGTCTCCTGTACCAAGATGACATTGTACGGAGCCCGGCTGAGGTGGTCGTAAACCAAAAAGCGGGCCCTGCTGGACTTAATGCTGTTTACATTCACCGTAGCCACAGAGAGTACAGGAAAAGTCGCCATAAGGGCATTAAGTATAAGGAGACTTTCCCTTCCTTCTGCGGTACCCCTCCTCCTCCGTGTCGGAACCGAGGAACCTCTTCACTGAGACTCCGGGATACAGTGGCCCGTCGTCTCTCAGAAGCACCTCCTGTCCCACCTCAACCCCTGCCACCACCTCGGGGAGGTTCGCCATCTCCTCCTCGTACTCACAGTCGGCCCAGCTGGAGGACAGTGCCTCGTACCTGTTAGATACGGGCACCGGGGCCTCCTGCAAGCCCGAAGAGGAGGATGACGCCCGTGCCACACCACCCTTATAAGTGGCGTCTCCCCCTTTCGGGGGTTTCGCCGCAGGGGGTATGGCGATCTTCCGGGGTGAGGGCAGCGTCGAGGTCTTGGAGGGGGGGGGTTTCTTACCTTTCACCGTGCTCCACTCTAGGGACTGTGCATCTAAGGGACGTGCATCTGGGGACTTTTCAGTGGGGGTAACCTTCACCGTGGAGAATTTAGGAGGGGGGGGCCTAGGGGGAGGGGGTCTAGGGGGAGCCATAATGGCTGTGGAGGTAGTGCGTTCTCTACGTACACTTTTCGTGAGGGGACGTGAACTTGTGGCCTTCCCAGGGTCCTGAGATGTTACAGAGACCGAGGGGAGGATGGGTTGTTGCTGGGGCAGGGAAACCCTTGTGCCAGAGATGGGCCTTGTAGATGACGATGCTACCTGAACCCCTAACCCAGCAGAGTCCATCTCCACCGGCTCCTGACTCCAGATGGACTCTACATTGTGCTGGGCTTCGGGGCAGGTGCGGTACGTGTGACCCATCTCTGAACACAGATGACACCGGATCTCCCTGCAGCTGTCCCGGAGGTGCCCCACAGCGCCGCACATAGTGCATTTGAGGACCGTACAGGCATTGCTGTAATGCCTGTACGATCCGCACTTGTGACATACCCTGGGCTGACCAGGGTAAAAACAGGATACCCGGTCAGCCCCGATGGTTTTTTCCACTCCTTAGCATTTACGTATAATTTAACAGGGACACAATTGTATATAAATAATATTTTGTTTCTAAATTTTGAAACTTGGGAATGGTGCTGTTAAACAGCAGAGTATTTGTTACTATATTTGATGTCTAGGTAGTGATCTTATATCATATAATACTGTAACCCCATAGCAATAGAGTGTGTTCACTTACTCAATTATTAGATAGAATGTATATATTTGCACTTGTCACTTTAAGCAATTATCACTGTTAGCACTTTAATTTGAGCACTTGCACTTTCTTTATATGAGGTAAATTAATCCTTACCTCCCTTTATCACACTTTTCTAGTATATATGATGACGTGCACTTATATAAATAGATTAAACTGTTCTCACTGTATTAATTAGAATACATTGTAAATGAGAGAATATGACCAGATTTACTGGCTGTGTTAGTTGCCAGCTTAATATGAATACTAAGTTGATATCACAACTGGGCACTTTTATCATGCGACCACGGATCGCTGTCTTTTGCGATCTGTTTACAGGTTGCTAGGGTGACGGGTAGGCTGCACTCTGACACCGGAAGTAGATGAGCGGAGTGACACGCATGCGCACTGGGGAACAGACCACGCCGGCACACAGGTGGGGACGGCTTGGTAAGTTAGTTTTTCTTATTTAAACTGAATGTTGTACTTTATCATTTATGTCCTGATGAAAGTCCACGACGATGGACTGAAACGTTGACCTCTTTACCAACTGGATTAAAAGGTTTTTTGCATTTTTTAGCATATTGAAAGTCCTTGAGTGCTGACTCTTTTTTGAAAGCTATACATTTGTGCAGTCGAGCACCAGGCAATTATTAAGGAGAGCTGGAGTGCAACTCCTATCATTTTCTATATATATATATATATATATATATACACACACATATATACACACACACATACACTGCTGTGTGTGTGTGTGTGCTGTGTGAGGGTGCTGTTAGTGTGATGTGTGTGTGAGCGTGCTGGTAGTGTGCTATGTGGGGGAGGTTGTGTTTGTGTGTGTGTGTGTGTGTGCGCGCTTGTGAGAGTGCTGTTAATGTACTGTGTGGGTGCTGTTTGTGTGTTAGGGTGCTGTTTGTGTGTGCGCTTGTGAGGGTGCTGTTAATGTACTGTGTGTGAGGGTGCTGTTTGTGTGTGAGGGTACTGGTAATGTGTTGTGTGTGTGTTTGTTAGGGTCCTGTTAGTGTGCTGTGTGAGGGTACTGTTTGTGTTTGTGAGGGTACTGTTAGTGTGCTGTGTGTGTGTGAGGGTTCTGTATGTGTTTGTGTAGGTGATGTATGTGTGTGTGGGTGCTGTGTGTGCTGTATGTTTGGGTGATTTGTGGGGGTGGAGGTGGGGGCAGATTAGTCAATAAATATCCCCCCTACCTTCTTACCTTATGTAGGGAGGGGGGCCCATGCTGCTGCCTTCCCTGGTGGTCCAGTGGAGGTGGGGGCAGATTACTTAATATCCCCCCTCCCTTATTACCTTATGTAGGGAGGGGGGATCCTTTCTGCCTTCCCTGGTGGTCCAGTGGAGAATGAACTCTAGCCTGTGGGGCTAGAGTTCACTCTCGCGAGACCTGAGCGTTGCCGTGGCAACACTCCGATCTCGCAAGAGGAACCCGGCGGAGCTGCTGGCAAGAGCTCCCCGGGTCCTCTCCTGCCTCCCTCCCTGCATGTGAGCAGGTGGGGAGGGAGGCTGAGAGCAGTGCCGGCGCTCGGATAGCGCCGGCTCTGCATGAGCCGACAGGGGGGATCCTGAGATCTCCCCTGCCGGTCTCACTCCAGAGGCGTGTCACGGGGATTAGGGTGTGCCCAGGCACACCCGGCACACCCCGTGCGCACGCCTATGAATATACATATTACACATCAGGTTCCTACATAACCG